TTCACATTCAATTTGTTCTCGATCTCTGAGCGTTGTTCATTCAACCATTTCTCTTTTGCCTCTGAGCATTTCTTTTTGATTTCTTTGTTTATTGAGCTGTATTCGGATGGATTTGACTTCTTGAGTCGTCGTTGTTCCATTAGTTTTAGGATGTCGTCGGTCATCCATTTCGTCTTTTTGTTCTCTTGAACTTTAGGAATTACTTTTTCAGCAGATGCCATGATCGTGGATTTCAGCTGTTCCAATAATATTTCAGTTTCTGTATTTTCGTTCAAGGCCTCAAACCGGTTTTGTACTTCAATTCGACATTTTTCTTTCATGTTTAGATCGGTTTTGAGCAGGTGGACTTGAAGCTTCGGATTTTTCATGGTTTTTCTAAATCTTTTTAGTTTTACTCGAATTTCGTTGATAACTGGTACGTAATCACTACTACAATCTGCTCCAGGAAACGCTTTGGAGGAGATGACAGAATTCCTGAAGCGATGATGGACCATAATGTAGTCTATATGATTTCTAGCCCGGTCTCCGGGGCTTCGCCATGTCCACAATCTACGAGAATGATTCTTGAACCATGTGTTCGTGATGACAAGATTGTGTGATTGGCACCAGGCTATTAGATTATTTCCTCTGTCATTCTTGTTTCCTAGGCCAAAAGGTCCTATAGTATTACCGATTCGTTCGTTGCCCACTTTTGCATTGAAATCTCCCATTACGTATATGATGTCTTGTGAATTGCATTGTTTGTAGGCTTTGTCTAGTTCTTCATAGAAGTTTGTGATTGCGTCCTAGTCATAGTCAGCTGTCGGTGCATAACCTTGGATGAAAGAGATATTGAAAGGTTTGCCATGGAGTTTTACAAGCAGCACTCTGTCCGAAACACCCCAGAAGCCTTTTACACATGTGGAAGTTTCTTTGTCAAGAAGTATACCTACTCCTCTTTCATGTTGGTCTCCTCCAGAGTAGAATATAGTAAAATTGTCTGTTGTAAAAGATCCAGCCCCTGTCCATCTGATCTCAGATAGACCCAGCACATTGAGCTTCAGCCTCTCCATTTCCTTCTTGACATTTTCCAGTTTTCCTTTTTGGAACATGGTTCTTACGTTCCAGGTTCCTATTTTGAGTGAATTCTTGGTACGGACAGTAGCCTGATGACGGTCGAGGGTCGCCTGTCCCGCATGACCATTTCTACCGAGCGAGGAGTTCTCTATGAGAACCCCATTCACGCTGTTACTTCGACTGGAAATTTTGACATTGATCATGGTGTGCTTGGGAGTGTACAACGGTGGTTTCCCCTTGCCTTCCGCCGGATTGAAATGGTTTACTCCATTTGGTGAACTACCAGTCAGACTAAAGAGCTTCACCTACCCTGGCTAAGGCTTATGAAACTCGATCCCGGTGAACCTTGCTTCTGGCGGCCTATACTCGCCTTGTCGTCTTTGGATTTCTGTAGCATTTTATAGGGGCTTTGGTGCCATCCAAAGCTCCACCACACCCTGTTGACGACATGGCCGAATTGTCCGGGACTGCTTATTTGAGCGATTGCTCGGTCTTATTCGCAGCTAACCATCGTACTAATGGTTGTTTCACTATCCGCAACCTGTGGACCCGCTTGGTAGCATCCAGCTTTGCCCCAAGATATGATTATTAGGACCTCATAAAAAAAAAGATAGAAAATCGATAAAAATGAACGTAGAGGATAAAAATTTGATAAAATAATGAAGATCTTTCTTTTTCAGTTAATCATTTATCAAAATAAAAATCTATGGCAAGTTGATCCAATTTATTTATTTCATTTTATCATATAGAAAAATATTTGTAATAATAAATCCAAGAATATTCAACTTTTAAAACTTCTAAAAGAACAAACGAATTTGTTTTTTCGAATGATTCATTTATTTTTTTGAATTCATATTCTGAAAGAGTATATTCAACATATCATTGTTTCATTATTTGTTTTCTCTTCATCTTCATTAATGAGAAAATAAAATACAAAGATTTCGTTTCACACTTCAAAAGATATAAATTTTTTATAAATTTAGGGTGTGGAGTGTGTGGGTGTGGCTTTGGGTAGGTCTCCACTTCATCCACACCCTTTAGGTATAACCACACCGACACCCATATCTACATACCACACCCACACCCCCACCTCCACCCACACCCACACCCACACCCACACTCACTCTCACTCTCACACCCACACACACCCATACACCCACACCTACACCTACCCACACCCACACTCACCCTCACACCCACACACACTCATACACCCACACACACTCATACACCCACACCCACACCCACACCCACACCCACACCCACACCCAC